TCGGCGCTGACGATAAACTGATTAACGTCAGCTACCGTAAAAGCAGGTAACTTCGGATGATTTCACTATATTATGAACAATTTCTCCGCCGTTTATTGTTCAATTGAAGCCAAACTTGGAATATAATACAATGAAGTCTTTCTCTTCACGATAAACCCTGTTTCATATCAGTCAATACCTTTTTTCATTCAAATTATTGACGTTATTTGTCTGTAGATCTGTATTCCAAATGCTTCTAACTTCGGATGGCCACTTTTCGCTTTGCGTCACTTCGACGTGAGAGAGAAATGTCTGAGTGATCAGTGACGCGTGCTAACGTCGCTGCGTAGAACTTACGATGCCGTGATCCGTTTTGCGTGTCGCACACTGACGTTCATCTATGACGGCCGTTTTATTTTTTTCCGATTGTTAATTCTTTCGGGTCGGCGGACATTGAAGTTTTATATATCTGGTCAATGACATTAGCAGCATGCTTAATGTCATTGATCTGGTATACCCGTGCGTTTACATCGGCAACAGCTCTTGAAGACAAGAAGGACTGATTTCAAAACCCCAATTAATTTTATTCTGATTTTTATCTTATGTGTTGGCTTTGTGGTCTTATCACTGTTTGTATATTATTAATCGTTCGAGTTTAACCCTTTCCGTGAGGTGGGCACGTATACGTGCCCACGACAAAACTCCCTAGATTGCGGCGGGTACGTTGATGTACTCCACTGTTTTATTTAGCAATCGGTCGCAAACTCTTGGTCTAGTTTTTCCGGGTTTTAGTTTATTGATAAGAAGTCTTCTTCGAGATTAACATAAGCGACGGTAAATCTCGCTTTCGTTTACCATGGGAATTTTATTTGCGGCAGAACGAGGGTGTGTTTTTGAAATTTATGCAAATTTCGGTGTTTTTTGGGTGGTAATAGAAGACATATTATCTCTTCCATCTACCAAAGTATTTTGAGTTAGATAACGAAATTGCTACAGCAATATTATGCTATTGTTTGCCAACCAAGAAGCGGTAACAGTAAAGGATTTAGCGAATATTTCTATTTTTTATCACGGTTTGAAGTTTCAACACCCAAGAAAAAAAAATGCCTTTTCTCTATCCGGTTTGTGACTCAGACCACCCCTTTAAAAAAATTTTTTTTTCAATCGCCAATTGCAAGCTCTTCAAATAAGCTTTCCAACGAGCCGTCAGTGGGCAGCAGAGGATCATTACTTTTTCGTTAGTCGATCGATTAGTTGTGGGGATACAAATGCATAAAGTCGGCGCAGCAAATACGGTTATTTAATAAAAAATAAAAATTGCATGGAAAGGGTTAAAGAGAACGGTGATATTATTATCGACACCGGAATGGAGATATATATTAAGACGATGATTGACGTTCTTATGCTTTGCACCTGCGATTGCACGAATCCTGAATTTTTATTTATTATAATAATTGAATAAATCGGCCGTTATGCATTTATACTTGTCATAAGGCTTTTGGTCCTAATAGCGGGTCGGACGCTAATTATATATAACTGTTTCCCTCAAGTTTTAACGTTTTTTTTTTTTTGGACAAAACGATAACCCGACGATTATTATAGCTAAAATCGTTACCGACTAACTCACAATTTTATCTACGGAATTTGCGAACTCAGCACTTTACTCGACGATTTTGACAGTGTCACGCCATAATTATTACCGCTAAAATGCTTCAAAATACAACGCATGTAATAATTTATGATAATTTTGCCCATCGCTATTTCTGACATTTCGCAAAACTAAACCATTTACTTCTGACTATTCTTAATTTCATGAAAGTGCTAGATTTTGCTAATATGATCGTTTTAATACAAAACAAAAAATAGACAACATGGGACAAATGAAAATAAAATAACAGACGAATAAACTAAGTCGTAAAAATGGAAGTGGAAAACAATTTTTAATACGAAACAAAAATGAAACGAATGAAATTAAAAAAAAAAAACAATGATGAATTACGATAGGTAGTAAAAAATGGCAGTGGAAATGGAAAACAATATGGAACGGTGTAGCTTGTGGCTCGTGTTCATAATTCAGATATAATGTATTCACAGGCAGATAGACAAAGTCAAATGACATGAAACGGATAAAAACGCCAAATAGAAACTTTGATACTCTTTTCTTCATTTTGCGACTTACTCGTATGTGGTCCAACCTTCTACTGAGTGCACCTGAGTTTCATGCTCACCTGTGCAACATTCTACGCTTATAATATCATCATCGTAAACATACATACTTTATCATTGTGATAGTATAGATACGCGTAACTGGCTGTTCATTAGCCTTACGTATCAACAACATCTATACGTTCGGAGAATGAATGCAAAAATATTAACGCACAAATTTGATGTGCATTAAACGGATTCACAATGAATAAACAGCATATGACTGGGGCTATAATGAAGTTTTTGTAGGATTTGGTGACTAGGATCAGGTAGGAGCTTTCACTTTATATTTAACTACACGTGGTGCCACATAGTCTGGCGTTCAAATGTCGCAGCGAGTTACGCAATGTGACGTCGGCTTTAAATGGAGCGAAATTGAATCACGTTGTTGACGTCACGTCACGTTCAGCGTAAGCATCGTAACGTCGATATTTTGACGAAATTTTTAAATTAAAATAATATATTTTACTTGAATCACACACGACATCTCGTGATCACTGTAATTTTCCTTGTACATTGTGTATGCCCTCTAGCGATTGACGGTCTTTTAGTGAAGTTAGCGTCGGCAGAATTCGCTATGTTAGGCGCTCAAAAACAAGGTGCCAATTTTTGGCTAAAATGTGATTTTTTGTGTCAAAAAATAAATAAGATTAGGCGATTGAATATGATAACAGATTTAGATATATAAGGACACTCTATAGAAACTGCCAGAAGCAAAATATGACATAATTTAGTCAAGATATAAACGATTGAAAATTTCATCCGAAGTTACCTGCGTTTACGGTATCTCTCTCCTATCGGGATCATTGCGACAGGAAAACGAGAGAAATGACTGTTCGATTTCGGGTTCTCGTCTGCGCGTCTTGGGTAACAGTTCGCATGGTTTGAAGGGCTGTATTACGTCACTGTGACGTCGTAGTGACGTAATTTTTGGATGGTGTGGTCAGGTGGGGGTTAGGATTGACACGTGAAAAAGTTGTTATGCTACGCCTACTGGAAGTATGTTAGGTACGAAACTACATGAGACCAGTTGTCTTGTTGGTGCATTTGCAAATAGTTGAGCACTGAAAACATGCTCAAACATAGACTGTGGGCCATATAAAACTAGCTTCTGTGAAATGGCTGACTTCGGATGATTTCACTATACTTTAATCAATTACTCAGCCGTTTGTTGTCCGATTTGCGTCAAACTTGAAATATATAACATTGGTGTAATTCTCTGTACATGCATTTAATTTTCTCGTCGATCAGATCATTTTTTATGTCTTAATTGTCTCATTTTTCACTACGCCACTAAATATCTATCTTCGAATGGGGAATCACCTCCCTGCGTCACCGCAACTCGAGCGAAAAGTGCGTGCGTGAAGACAAAACACGCTTTATGTCGTATAACGTTTGCAATGTGGCACGTGTTGATGTAAAACAGTGCACAAGTTACCATTCCTCAAGTATTATTCACTCCAAGTATTATTTACTCCCACCTGTCCGTTATGACATTTGCTAGAAATAATCTGAAATGTTTTATTCCCGCTTGTATCGCCCTAACAAAATTAAAATTAAATACTAATTTTTTTTTGTAACATTTTTTGTAACAGATGTAAAAGACGTGTATGTTTTTGTTCACCGCCACTCGAATGGAAGCCTGACAAACGTAAATAAAATAAATATATATATTTTAGGATGAGAAACACGATTGTCAATTAACATTGCTGGCCGATGAACTCATTCAGTAATAGTTCTCTTCAAATGTACGCGAAATATCTCACTCAGAACAAAGTTTAAATTAAATTTCAATCAAAATTAAATATCATCTGAGACGTCGGTAGCTGATTCTTTATACAATCATGCCGCGGTGTACAATAACTTAGTCGCAGCGCAGGTGTGCTGTTGAAAATTTTCAAAATTGTCACGAATTTTCAGATATACGATCCATTTAAATTCGCGCATAATAGAAACTTAGGCTATTCAGTGGAAAACTGAACTCGCGGTTTGGGGGAAATTACGCCACACATCATCTCGAGTGAGCGTAAAAGAGTGTGTTGTGCCGAATTTGAAACATACGACGGCAGATAAGTAAAAAAGTCAATCACGAAAAATTCATTTTCATTTATTTCCGTGCCTTAATTTGTTGTTATTTGGAGTGCCGCATAAACGCATTCGGCAGTTCGCCGCCGAAAACAACGATTCAACGAACGTTCAATGTTTTTTTTCGGTAAATCGCTCTCTTTTTCGAATCGATTCAGAAAAGATGCGTATCGATCCGTAAATCCAAAAGTGGCATCCCTATCGGCGACGCAACATGACGTCGTCTTCAAAGTGAGCTATTATTTGAATTTCAATTTTTTCTCGAGTCTCCTGCGACATCTCGTGATCAGTCTAATTTTCTATATACATTGATAACACCCTCTATCGAATGACAGTATTTTGAGGAACTTAGCATCAGTAGAAGTCACGATTTAAGCCGTTCGAAAACGGAGTGTCAATTTTAGGTTAAGACGTGATTTTTTTAATCAAAAAATAAATTAAATTGCGCGATTGAATATGATAACAGATTTAGATATATAAGGCCTTGCTATAGAAACTGCCAGAAGCACAATATGACGTAATTTAGCCGAAATATTAACGATTGAAAATTTCATCCGAAGTTACAAGGCATCCGAAGTTAGCCGGTTTTACGGTTCTCATTTAGAAGCAAGCTGACGATCGAAATTTGCACGAAAAATATAAGTTTATTAAAAATATTAATGCTTCTAATAAATTTCATGACAATTTCATGGTCAGAAGTGCATAATACTGAAATTTACCATTGTTTTTAGATTTTATTTAATTTGGAAATTTTTACCAAAGACGTATTTCCTTGCCTTAACTGCGCTGAAAACTGTTCATGTTTTTGCACATTGACAATGATGAAAATTCTTATCGCACTGAAGAATCAAACGAATATGTGACTAACAACATTGCTGGAACTAGTCAGCCTACTAACTCTGAGGAGAATTGTGGAAAATATATTACAAGTAAAACTTCTTCACTTTGTGTATCTGAAAAAAAAATAGAGGAAGTGGTTTTGCTAAACCACTAAACTGGAAGGGAAATCACGAACCCAGTCACTTGTCCATACCAACACCGGACCAATGCCTAATCTGAAAAGCAACAGTGGAGATGAATCATATAGTTGCAAACAATTAGGGAAGAGCTTCAAATCAAAGCGGAATTTAAACAGGCATATGAGGATTCCTCAAAGAGATAAACCCTATATTTGTAAACAATGTGGAAAATGTGTTTCACGATTATCTAGTTTACGAGAGCATGAGCGAACTCACACTGGCGAAAAACCTTATGCTTGTAAACATTGTGGAAAGGATTTTTCACAATTATCTAGTTTACGTAGGCACGAGCTAAGTCATACTGGAGAGAAACCTCATATATGTAAACAATGTGGAAAGTGTTTTTCTCGATTATCTCATTTACAGAGGCATGGAAGAACTCATACTGGAGAAAAACCTTATATTTGTAATCAATGTGGAAAGTGTTTTACGCGATTATCTCATTTACAAGGGCATAAGCGAACTCATTGCGGCAAAAAACCTGGTGCCTCTAATCAATATGGGGAGAAATCACATGTTTGTGAATATTGTGGAAAGTGTTTTACGGAGTCATCTAATTTACATGTGCACAAGAGAACTCATACTGGAAAGAAACCGTTCGTTTGTAAACAATGTGGAAAGAGTTTTTCACAAATATCTATTCTACGAGCGCATGAACGAACTCATACTGGAGAGAAACCTCATATTTGTAAACAATGTGGAAAGAGTTTTTCACAATTATCTGGTTTACAAGTGCATGAACGAACTCATACTGGAGAGAAACCATATTCTTGTAAACAATGCGAAAAGTGGTTTTCATATTCATCTGCTTTATCAATACATGAGCGAACTCACACTGGGGAAAAACCTTTCATTTGTGAACAATGTGGAAAAAGTTTTACGCGATCATCTAGTTTACTTGTGCACAAGAGAACTCATACTGGAAAGAAACCTTTTGTTTGTAAACAATGTGGAAAGAGTTTTTCACAATTATCTAATTTACGAGCGCATGAACGAACTCATACTGGGGAGAAACCTCATGTTTGTAAACACTGTGGAAAGAGTTTTTCACAATTATCTGATTTACAAGCGCATGAACGAACTCATACTGGAGAGAAACCTTATGTTTGTACACAATGTGGAAAGGCTTTCTCACGATCATCCACTTTATCTGAACATGAGAGAATTCATACTGGAGAGAAACCACATATTTGTAAACAATGTGGAAAAAGTTTTTCACAATTATCTAATTTACATGTGCATGAACGAACTCATACTGGAGAGAAACCTTATGTTTGTAAAGAATGTGGTAAGCATTTTGCACATTTATCCACTTTGCATGCCCATGAGCGAAGACATACTTGAAAGAATCCAAATTACATTGGTATGAGCAAACCTAACTGTGTAAACAATGTGTGATGCGCTTTTTGAATAGACTGCGTTTAGAAAAACAACATAGGCAGGAAAACAACAGTTTGTGTGGGTTCCTTACATATTGGATCGTTTGGAAGACGTTTTCCTTATATTTAACCTAATCATAATGCAGGTATAAGCTACTCATATTCTTTTGAAATTTTGATTGAATTTAAAAATAAATAGTTTAAAAAGTCAAAACTTTGGAAATGTTTTACGAGTTTTAAAATATATTCTGCCATATTCATTCGTGCGTTTGGCTTTATATTAAGAGAATAATAAATGACATTAATAGTTAATTTGAGAGAAAAGCAATATTTTAAAAGTTCAGTTTTTTGTTTTAATTTTGTTCAGGAGATTTTTAAAGTAAGATCTTGAACAATTAGCCAAACACGGCAATGATAATCCAATTCGGATTTTACCAGATGATGCTAGCTTTAGTTATCAGATAAGTCAATTTCAATATATTTTTTTCGTTTGTTTTTGTATAAATTTTTGTACATACATGTTGTAATTTCATTTTGTAACACCATAATTCGATAACATTGGGGCGGAATTTCTCAACTTAAACTCACATATGTCAGATGACAAATTTTCTTCTATGCGCCTCACAATTGAGGTTGGGGTAGAAAATTTTTCGCGGGGCCGTGAAGCTCATTAAAACTACAATATTTGTTAGATATGCCCGTCTTATTTCAGATATTCACATTACATTTGTTCCATTATTTACGTTACGTCAACATATTTTCAACGTCTTTTTGAATAAAAATACTATCTGTAGCTTATTCTATAAAAGGGGCTCGGTTCAAAAAGTTTGAGAACCACTGGGCTAGAAAATTGTTTTAGTGGCTTTTGTACCGATTGGATTGGATAGAATTTGCAAACTAAAACTTGTTCCCTGTTAGCCTAACTAAGCGCGCAAGTCAACATGGTGGAAAGTGGAAGTCTTGTTTACAAATACATTATTCAGATTTGCTATGTTTGGTATTGTTCACAAACTTATCACAACAATGCATCTATGGAACCAATTTAAGATATTAGCACTGATTCTGCAATGCTGCACTTTAATGTTTCCAATATTCAAAGCTCCATGCTGCCTTTCAATCATGTATATTTGATTTGTTAAATTGTTTGTGAATTTGTGTGTTTCTAAAAGCAACAATGTGTCCTCTCACAACCCAGAATCCCATAGGCATACCCAGTATTTGCAGTAGGATAGGATAGGATTTACATATTTATCCCGGGGGGGGGGGTTAGAGGGGGCGGGGGGAAGGAAAGCCGATAGGACGGCTTAATCATATGGCGAACCACGGCCTCTCGTCCAGTTACCAGTCAAGGTCGGGTATGGGATTAGTTAACCAGTTATTTGTTTTCAAAAGCATGGACTTGATGGTGGAGGAAGCCGTAACCGACCAGCGGTTACGTGAACCACCCTACGGCGACAAGGAGTCCAGCAATCTTCTCGCACATGATCATTCCCGCATGGAAATCGAACCTGCGATCCCACGAAGGGATCAGAGCGTATTCCTAACGCTTAGCACGATGCGCCATACCGCCGAGCAATTCAAAATCGGCTTCATCTATATATTTATTCTGGTGATCTCTCTATAAATCCTAGTTGGATACTAATATGTGGTTCAAATTTTCAGTTGTCAGAAGTTTATTACATTCAATTACCTACTTTTTTTGGTGGGCGGGCACGTACATTGTTCGCTTTTTAACTTCATTTTGAGTTATGCCCGTCTCCCAGGTATCTCTGCATTTTGTTTTGTCAGAGAACCAAAATAAATGATTGGTTGATTATGACATAATATAATTATACCGTGACGATCATCTTTACTACAACGACAAGGCAAATGCAATAATATTACCAGCCTAATACTGCATACTCACGTCTCACAAGCTTGCCCGTTGCATGCATGCATGCCTATGTGTAATACAAATGGCCTAGTTTCCAAAATGTCAAACCGCTCCTCGGCACACCTGAGAATCTCTTGAGGCATACAGTATGAAAGGGATGGGCGAAATTTTTTAGTATAAAAGCCGCGCATGCACCAAGTCACAAATATATGAGAGCCGCATGATTTGGGAATCAATAATATTAGAATACTGTGAACTGAAAACAAACGTATATTAACAGTATTGCAAAGTATATATTGTGATGCCATATCAGAAGAAGTTGACTTGTGTGTTTCCATCTTATCTGAAAGTTTTGTGATATGTAGTCAATGCAGCGCAGGACATATCGCACTGTTACTGAGACTAACCGCAATAAAGCTACAACAAACCGCCAACGCAGCAACAAACATTTGATCATTGTGATGTAAGATTTGTCGTTTGGCAGTTTGAACTTTAAATTCCACGTTGCGATTTTCTTACTGAAACACAATTTACGCTACAGTTCCTCTTAATCAAATTTGAATAATAATTATTGCCAGCGAGAAGGGCCGCGACTACAGCGAGCTGCAAAACTTTATCGGGGCCGCACGGTTGTGCATCGTGCTGAGCGTTGTTGGCACCTCTGGAGGGTCATTTGTCTAACTCAGGGGTGCACAACCTTTTCTCTTCAGACGGCCGCATCATGTTTTTGTAAAAAGTCTACGGCCGCCAGTGGGATCGAGATTTTTTATGAGCTTTATTTATTAATTATAGAATTGGTATTTATTGATATATGTTATTGACTTGCGTCTAAAACGTGCACGAAATGGTAAAAGTTAAACATATATGAAAAATCAAAGTTTTTAGTGGTCAGTATTTTATTGCATCGAATAATTTTAATGAATGAGAGATATTCAGATTTCATATACAGTCGGAAGGGTCGACACTTACTTCCGCTGAGAATTACTGTGATTCCGAAGTTGTTGACAACGCAACAAATATTTACTTTGCTTATTACGTTATAATTGCTGATATTATTCGTCAGCGTTTATAACTTTGCAGGCATTGGATAAATATCTTCTCGCAGATACTCCTTATGTCACATCCTTTAGCAGCAGCGTACATCAGAATTAAATGTTCTATTTCTTGCAAAATTGTGCGTTTAATCATATAAACGCGTAAGTTCCTAATCGATCATCGACAACAGGCCTTTTCAGGATTAATTAAAGAATTTATACTTTAGACAATAATTTTGCGAAGCTTTTTTCATCCAAGTCACTGATTGATTCGGTACGCATGATGTGGTCATTTGGACCGTTACCATCGATTGTGTCTGTAAACTATATTTTTGAAAATCCCTATCCGCTCTTACACTCGTACGTTTTGTGCCTCAAAGACGCCAATAATTGTTTTTTTCCCGCCCTGACCTGGGTGTCCTCTGTTAAAAACTCGTTAACTAACGCTTGAGATTATAATAGAGCGAATCTGCAACTTAAATTTTGGACTGAAAATAGGAGAGTAACTACTGAAACTGAAAACGATGTTATAAAATATTATCCCCATGACTTTTGTTTCGGGATCCCGCAACAAAAAAAAAATAGATTACGTGAATCGCCAAAATTTAACAATTAAATTTCTGTGTTGGAAACTATATCACAATCACCGATGTTAAAAATTTATTTATGCACACATTGTACCTTCTTACCTATTCTTGAATTACTGTCAGGTATTGTGATGATAGGACCGTTTCACTACGTTTTTTAAATGTCCACAGATATATTATTACAGAAGCAATGATGCTTTCTTTATGTCTTTGGTCGCGTGTTACGTCTAACACAACTTAATCAATATAGAAAGACAATTTAATTTCTGGTATCGGTCATGGATTAAATATGTTAAGCAACATAAAAAATCACTATGCGCTGAAAAAGCCTGGCGTCATTGCGATCAGGTTTCGAACAATAGTAACTTCGTTTCATGCACGCTGAAAATATTTCTAATTTCATCTGGAATTAAAGAACCGTTTACTTTTGACGATATCCCGCTTAAGAGATATGAAAGAATATTTACAACTGTTACTTTTTTATGATACTGATAATTCATTTCCATTTCAGATATAAGTACTGCTACGATTTTCCGTAACAGTCAACCAACATAAAACAAATTGTTTTGCAGTAACACAAACTGTAACACACCAGCACGGCCACAGATTTTACCTTCGATGGCCGCAGGTTGTGCACCCCTGGTCTAACTTCATAAAGAAGGTTTACGAGCACGTAACTGTATCTCTCAAACACGTGCGATTCATGGAAGATCTTGTAAAAACTTTCGCTCATCCTCGATATCTTACACACGATCGTCGCTGAAGAAAACCACGTCTAATCACTCGCAATCGTCAGGATAGAATTCAATTTACATATTTATCCCGGGGAGTGAGTGGGAAGTCGATAAAGCGGCTTAATCATATGGCGAATCACGGCCTCTCACGAGGAGTCCAGCCATTCTCCCGACTCTCGCACATAACCACCCACGCATTTCTCGTAATACATTGAATTGTAATAAATATTGGTGAATGGATCCCTGATTACTCTGCGTGGGTTCGCAGGTTCGAATCCCACTGAGATTAATTGATGTTTAAAAAAATGATAGGCTCCGACGACTGGACCACTGCATGCAAGTCCAAGGACGCGTGATCGGACGAAAAGCCGTGATACACCATACCGTTAAGCTGACTTATCGGCTTTCCTCTCCCCTGGGATTAAATTATATCTCATCTAACCCACTCGGACAAATTTATAAGCGTTTAGTGTCGCTGTTCGATAACCATTCCATGAGGCTTCCCTCCCTCAGTAAAACAAAATTATCATTTTCTCGTAATTTGTATACGGTTGTGTTTTTTCTACTATTCAGAATATATATACTGAGTTGACTTCGAAATTTTCAATCAAATAGCTTAGCAATCTATTTTTTGGAAAATTTTTAGTTTAATAACAACAGTGTATCTAAAGCTGAAATGATATAGAATAAGTTTATTTCCAGTATTTTTCGCTGATAAGTGGTTATATGCTTTTAAGCAAATCGGAGGTTACCATTATGTAAACTGTTTTGCAAGGTCTACCTAGAAAAAATATTTACCAAATTGTCAAAAAGTTTAGTGATGGTAAAGCATACTAGCAAAGGGGTTTTACAAAAGTCAACTGTAGAGGAGACACAGAATTTTTGACATAATTTAGTTCAGAAAATAAAATGTTAAAGATGGTGGTCACAGAAGCGTTATTTATTTTTCAATACTTCATTAGTAGACGACTTACACTTGTTTCACAAAAATGGGGTAAAAAAATATATAAATTTTGCCCATCTGACAGTCGAACGAGATAAAGAACTACATTGAGAATTGTTGAGATGTCATATTTGATTCAGTGAATGATAATCGAGTTAATTTTCGTGTTTCTTGTTGCGAAAAACCCAATATTCAGAAGTGTCAGATTTAGGCACACAAAGGTTCAATATCATAATCTTTTATTGTGAAGAAAAAAACTATTGACGGCAAATATAATGTAATATTTATTAGTAAATTGAGGGCGGACTAACAATGCATTTAGAGAAGCGTATTGAGAAAAAGTTCAAGAATCACTGTCCTAGCAGGGTAAATAAATCGGATTCAATACCCTTCGCCCAATATGTGAGAAATAATGCCCAATAAAACAATTATTACTTCCACTTATTTTCTAATGTAAATTAAAACACAGAAAACGTTATAATACTTAATCACATTCCAACAATAATCACGATATTACTCAAAATATAGACAGGTCCAGCTGTTTGATGCACAAATGCGCGTAGCTGATATTATGTACATAAATGCCAAAATTATCATCATAAGAAAACTACGTGAATCATTTAAAAAAAAATTTCAATTCAATTTCACTTTTTGAAAACAATAAAAGTAAATTTTAAAATCATTGCGATTCAATTATTTTTATCCTTGGGTAGGATTTCTTTTCTACATTATCCATGCTTCTAGAATCTAGAGTCTTTTGCCTGTGTGAATCAGCAAATGTTTTTCTAACGATTCTTTCCACATTGTTTACAAACATAAAGCCTCTCTGCAGTATGATGAGTTCGCTCATGCCTGTGTGAACTGGATACATGAGAAAATTCCCTTTACACACATAAGGTTTCTCACCTTTATGAGTGCGCGCCCTTACCCCGTTGTTTACAAATATAAAGTTTTTCTCCAGTATGATGACTTCGCTCATGCCTATGTAAATCGGTTGAATTCAAAAAACCTTTACCACATTGTTTACAAACATAAGGATTATCTCCGGTATGATTTCTCTCATGAACATATAAATTAGATGATTGCGAAAACCCTTTACCACATTTATTACAAACATATGGCTTCTCCCCAGTATGAGTTCGCTCATGCGCTTTCAGTGTAAATAATTACGAAAAACCCTTTCCATATTGTTTACAAACATAAGGTTCCTCCAGTATGAATTAGCTCATGAGCCGACATATGAGATAGTCGCGGAAATTTTCTTCCACGTTGTTTACAAACATAAGAAATCTCTATAGTATCATGAGATTCATTAGTTCGCTCATGCCTAAGTAAACTCGATACATGCGAAAATTCACTACCACATTGTTTACAAACATAAGGCCTCTCTCCAGTATGAGTTTCCTCATGCACTTGTGAATTGAATAATCGCAAAAAAAAACTTTCCACACTGTTGACAAAAATAAAGTTTCTCTCCAGTCCGATGAGTTTGCTCATGTCTATGTAAACTTGATACATGAGGAAATTTACTCCCACATTCTTTACAAACATAAGGCTTTTCTCCGGTATGAATTCGCTCATGGATATGTAAATTAGATATGTGCGAAAAACCTTTACCACAGTGTTTACAAACATAAGGTTTCTCTTCCGAATGTGTTCGCTCATGCACGTGCAAACCAGTTGATTGCGAAAAGTTCTTGCCGCATTGTTTACAAACATAAGGCTTCTTTCCAGTGTGAGTTCGCTCGCGCCTATGTAAATCAGATATGTTTGAGAATCTTTTTCCACATTGTTCACAAACACAAGGCTTTTCTCTAGTATGAATTCGCTCATGAACATTTAAAGTAGAATATTGCGAAAATGCTTTACCACATTGTTTACAAATATAAGGCTTCTCTCCATTATGAGTTTGCTCATGCCTATGTAAATTAGATACAGTGATAATTTCCCTACCACATTCTTTACAAATATAAGGCCTCTCTTCAGTATGAATTCGCACATGCGTTTGTAAAGTAGATGAATACAAAAAAGCCTTCCCACAATCTTTACAAATATAGGGTTTCTTTTCAGTATGAGTTTGTTCATGCACACATAAGTTGAATAAATCCTTTCCACCTCGTCTACAAAGATGAGGTTCATACTCACAATGGGTTTCTACATTTGACCGAGCTTTTGTGTTGGTGTGAACAAGTGACTGATTTTGCAACTTTCCGAGGTTACTTTTATTTCATGACAATTACGTGGTTTGTCAGTCTTATCAATTGAATCAGTTTGGATACATCGTGGATGAACTTTAGATTTCTCTTCGCCGCAAGTTTGTTGAATATATTTATTTGTTATTTCATTCCCACAATGCTTATAATAGTCGGTAGGATGAATTGTTCCCACGTTGCCCGTAGCTGCATATTCGCTCAAATCTCGAGCCTCATCATTTTTATCATGAATGTGCAAAAACATATGCTTTTCCAAGCCGGGTCCCCTGATGAAAAGTTTTCATCACAGATGAGGCAGGGAAATACGCCTTTGATGGTTTCTTTCATTTCTAATTAAGTTTCCATAATGCAGAATATCTAAATATGAATATTAAATGTTGGCATTGTAAATGGCACCATTGTAATAGAATAACCAATGTTAACATATTTGTGATTGACATAATACGCTGGGAAAATTTCATATCTTCGATGAAAAGCTATGGTCTTCGTGCCGATGACCAATTATACAAACGAGAATATCGGTCGGAGACCGAAGACTCATTGATCGGCCGCAAAAAAAAAAGATTAATAAATTGATAACTTGCTAATTATAAAAAAAAAAAAAAAAAAAAATTTGAATCAATAACTCGATAATTCATCCAAAATCAATAGGCTTCTGGTCCGAGATATGATGAATGCACATGCAAAATTTGGAGCAGATTCAACCTCGCCTTCGTGAGATATCGCGTTCATCTAATAGACAAACGAACAGACAGACAAATACCTATCAACATACTTAGCGATCAAGATCGATTGATAAGTATACCGGACAAGCCAAACAAAGTACAAGTAACAGCGCACGCATATCGAGTTGTTAATTTATTAATCAATATGTGGGTGCCCCGAGGGCACGGCGTTGTAAAGCTGTCATTCTCAAAAAAATAGTCTAAATGCAGTTTTTTTTAACTTTTGTTTTGTTTCAATTATAATGTTAGCGCTTTTAAGTTCAAGGCACGTTTACGAAGTCGAAAGATTGAGTGAATTGGTATATAATTGACACCATATTGTCAAATGCAAATAAGCTATAATCACCTCACCCTTATTTGGTTTTATTTTGGCGTAATCAGTATTATGGTGCCCCGAAGGCATGACGCCTCAATGACGTCTTTTCGTTTCGCCTTAATGATTGTGTTGGCATCAATTTAAAAATAATTCAGTCTAAATCATGCTTGTGAAGTTGAAATATTAACTAAACTCGATAATATTAACTGCAATTGGCAATTTTCGCCCTGTATGTTTAGATTTATTTTAGGTCAGTGAGCAAAATTATCTTGTCCTACATATTATCTTATTTTTTTTAAAAACAAAATAAATACAACAATGTATTGCACGGTATTATCAGCAAAATTATTACCGATTCTTACAGTAGCGTGCATGTGGGTATAATTTCCTTAGAATTTTCCCAATCTTCTGTGTGTTTGTCAGTCAGTAATCAGTAGTTTATTTTTTCACCATTCTAAAGCACACAATGTGAATACACAATACAAGAAATAGGAAATATGGTACTTTAGGGTGAAGGTTTGTCGTTTGTGTTTGGTGTATATTCTTTTTTTGCGGGAAAATCTGAATATACTTATAGAAACTTAACAGTGTCTGCAGAATAATAAATATGTAAATCGTATCACGTCCAATGAAAGCGACAGCTCGGATAACTCGACTACCTAGACTGTGTAGGCGAGTTGTTTGTCAACTTAAAAACGTCCATTTGAAAATTGATGCTGCAACGGCTGCTTAAATTACAATTGTTAAATCATCGTTAGGTTATGGTTAATGATAAGCCATTGTTAGGGAACAAAAACTGAATAAATATCCAAGAAAGTCGATACTTGAAGGAAGACCCATTTCAAATATTATATATATATACGCAAATGTAACAAACTTTTGGGCTGTTTTAAAATGATGCAACAGTCCGAAAGTTTATTACATTCGCGTAACTAACCCTAAGTATCTAACTATTTTTTTGTGTGTTTATTTTTGAACCAAGCCTTGTTTAACAAGATTTGTGTTTTTTGTTATGAATGCGTGTTGGTTAGCGGGCACATTATACTCATCATGTTTTAAATTTTTTTTCAATGTTTTGCTCGCTTTTCAGAATTCTCCATTTTTAAATTGTTTGTATTGTCAGATTGTGGAGTTTTCGAAATAAACTATCTACCTATATATGCCATATGTAAATTTTCCGCGTAGGATAAATTTTGGATAAAATATTATTCTACAGTTGCTTTAGCGACCAGAAATACGACTGCTTTTTGTCTTTGCCTACATACGGTAAGTTAGATTGCTCTGCCGTTCCGGATTCAGGGAGTTTGAATATGAAAACAGCTTTCCAAATACTCTAACATTCATTTATGCTCTGGTCTTGTCTATAGAACCGAAGAAAAGATAACTCTTTCAAATATTATATAAAGGAAGTGTACCGGTACCAGTATAAAATGTACGGTACCGGTACTGTTTCTAGATTATTAAAACTGTTAGTGAGGAAATAGTAGTAGTGATCACAAAATTCAGGACTTAAGGTAAAGTACCGGTACATACCGGTAGCCTTTGATTAGAGTGACTCTAACAATACCGGTACAGTATCTGTGATCCAGTTGCTTTCATTCATGAACATGTGATAATCGCATGGTTTTTCAAACTTGTGATCGTGCTTCTTACACTTTTTTATGAGTCAGCAGATGTATGACAAATTGAATATCATTAGAAAGAGCATTACTATAGACACCCGTGACATTGTGAAATCTTATATTGGTAATTGCATTCCCTAAAGTGAAATTAACCTTGCTAGAAGAGAATTACTGGGAAGTTTGGTTGAATTTTAATCATAGGCTTTTCACCAGAAAGCTCAGCTTCTCATCGAGCGGCAAGCAGCTCATTCACAATTTGTATAAGAAAATTGTCTCATTTTCTGTGATCTGTAACGACGCAAATAAATATCTAACTTCGGATGGGTGTATCCCCTCCCTGCGTCACCGCAACTAGAGCGAAAAGTGCGTGCGTGAGGACAAAACACGCTTTACGTCGTTGCGTAAATGCCAGATGTTCAATCCATGTCGCGAGTGACGGTAATAATGTCGACCGTAGGATTTCCAGCGCGGCACTTTCAAGTTGTTTTTATACTAAAATATCTCGTTTTATTTTCTCTTATCGTAACTTCAGTCTAATTTTCTATATACATTGATAATGCCCTCTATCGAATGACACTATTTTGACGAAGTTAGCATCAGTAGAAGTCACGATTTGAGCCGCTCGAAAACGTGTGTCGAGTGTCAATTTTATGCTAAAACGTGATTTTTTTAATCATAAAATAAATTAAACTGCGCCATTGAATATGATAACAGATTTAGATATACAAGTCCTCACTATAGAAACCGTCATAAGCACAATATGACGCAATTTAGTCGGGATAAAAACGATTAAAAATTTCATCCGAAGTTACAAACCATGCGAAGTTACCTGCTTTTACGGTAGTCATAGATTTAACTGCTTTTTACTGCACTAAATTTTATGACATTTTTTTGGATATTCTGCATCATGAAATAAGCTAATCACAAATGTGAATTATTTGTATCTTAAGCAATATTCAGTGATTGCGAAGCATCAAAAAATACATTATTTTTAGATAAGGAAAATTCTATCTAAATCCTGGAATCCGCTGAAAATACATTTCCCTGTGTTATCTGTGATGAAAATTTTTCATCTGGGTCCAGTTTGGAAAAGCATATGTTTTTGTACAATCACGATGAAAATGATTATGGATCTGGAGATTTAAACAAATATGTAACAAGCAACATTGTGGAAACTCTTCGGCCTAAATAAACGATCATCTAGTTTACAAGATCATATACTAACTCATACTAAAGAGAAACATCATGCTTGCAAACAATGTGGAAAGGGTTTTTCACTTCTACCTAGTTTGTGGAGGAATGAGCAAATTTATACAGGGAATAAACCGTATATTTGTAAACAATGCGATAGAGCTTTCTCGGATAAATCCAATTTACGTATACATGAGCGAACTCATACCGAGGACAAAGTTTAGTTGTGTTATCAACGGGTTTTCAATGAAAATCATTTATAGTAACGTTTCAGGCATTCTGTCTACCTTTTGATAACTATATCTCCTAATTAATATGTTGTTGAATGTATTTACGGTGTAGCCGTCTGCCGATCATGATGTGATGTTATTTGACATTAAAGTACCATGCTGTTAATTGTCTCTGATCTTTCAAAAAGCTGATAAGGCCCAACGTCAGAGCGTGTTTTCAACCACTGTACTTCAGAGAGAGGTCACCGACTGGTCACAAATTTGAGTAACATTTAGTGATTTATGACCCTGAAGTTTTGCCGTTTCTGGATGAGAAAAGGCAAGACAATGACAGCAGTTAACCATGTAGAGCTGTTCTCATCACTTTTAATTCACTGTTTTTCCGGATATTTGAGATAATGAATTGATTAAGATTCTTTCTACTTCTACTAACGCTATAATTCGTTGGATTGGGCATGCTTCTACCGAAACAAGCATGATCTGATTCTAATAGACTTTGCTAAATGAAATTCAAACTTAAAATTAATATATGTGAGAATTATTACTCAGTTAGGCATAAAATAAAGATTATTATTTTTTTGATGTTTTCTATGTCAATGCATAATATGCACCCCCTTATTTTGAACTCCAAAATTGGCCTCAAAAGTGTGTATTATACGTGGAGAAATACGATAATCCCAACTATTGTTTAACAGCTTTTATTTTCCACACTGGGTAAGGTGGATTTTGAGAGTTTGATCAGAGCAAAATCCCTAGCAATCAGTCAGAAGTCCTCAGACCAGTGCAGATTTCACAGATGAATGTTGTATTCAACCCACTTTTGGAGTTGGCAGGATCAAAGACCAGTGCAGATTTCACAGATAATCTTGCATTCAACCCACTTTTCAAGTTGGCAGGAAAACAAACTCAGATTCGGTAGCTTTTGTCGAAGCCTGGTTGGGATTTAATAGGATATAATATGCATATTTTTCCCCGAGGGAGAGTGAAGCCGAAAATATGACTTCATCGTATGGCGTTCCACTGTGTTTTCCCCAATTACCAGTCAGTTGTTTGGTTTCAGATGAACTACTCGAAGGTAGAGGAAGCCGTAGCCGGCCAATGTTTATGTGAACTACCCAATGGCGGTGGGGAGTCTTATTTGCCCCATGGGACTCAAACCTGCGAACCCACGCAAGGCAATCGGAGGTGTGGTGACAAGCGTATTCCTACCTTTGGGTTGATATAAGTATTCTATTCACCTGTTATGAAATTATGTCTGCAAATTCACGCTATCAAACTTTAAATTCACCTTTTTGATTTAAAGCATTACGTGTGTATGTTTATTTGGCTCAAAAGTTGACATAGGATAGGATTTACATATTTATCCCGGGGGAGAGGAAGGCCGATTTGACGGCTTAATCATATGGCGAACCACGGCATCTCGTCCGGTTACCATTCCATGTCGGTTTTGTGATTAGTTAGGTATTTGTTTTTCCGAAGCATGGACTTGATGATTGAGAGAGCCGTGATCGACCAGCGGTTATGTGAACCACCCAACGGCGGCGAGGAGTCCTGCAATCCTCTTGCACATAACCATCCCGCATGGGATTCGAACCTGCCATTTACTTTAAACGTGTCCATATATTTGAGCATAGCTCTCTTGTTCATTATGGACTGCCAACAGGGATAAAATAAAACACTGGTTCATTAATGAACCAGATATATGTGTAATGTGTGAAGATAATATTGAGGAAACTGTATGTCATTTATTTTTAGAGTGTGAGTGGACCATAGATTTTTGGCAATGGTGTTGCATAGAAAATAATCAGAATACTATTTTAGCAAATTATTCGGAGCGCAAATCCAAATTAATTACTATAATATGCGGAAAATCAACAATATGGGAATATCGAAAATCAGCAAAATATGATGAAATAGTTAAGTAAAAGTAGTATTCATTTATTATTCAAATGTGAACTGATAGGAATTTTAAATTTATTAAAAGCATGTGAAAGAGATGATTTATTATTGTATGAACACATGGATGATCTCATACATAGATCAATCATGATGTGACGTTTTCTATGCAACATCAACTTAAATGCAGATTATATGAAAATATTTGAATGTCTGAATTTTGGTCATACATAGGTAGTATATAGAAAAGTGCCAAAAACCCACTTTGGTTGTTTTCTGTCTAATTTTTCTTATTTCAATGCAAAATTAACTAATTCTATTAATTAATGATAGATATATAAAATGTGCACGAATTGGATGATGACTGTATGATAATATGGATTAACATACAGGCTTGCAAATCCGCGCCCGAAAACGAGAGTCTAGGCATACTCTCGTCGACCTCCTAACGGAATTCGAAAGATTCAATGACGTCATAGTGACGTCACATATACTCCCGTCCCAGGAAAATGTTACGCGAGTCAATGTGTCTAATTATATCTACGCACACACTATCTACACACCTACTTTCGCTCGATAAACACTACTCCGTCGGTACCCTCGTTCTGCGATATTGCTACTTGCGAGCGTCTCATTAAATATTACGTGCGTGCTCTGCGACGCCGTTTTCCCCGCACGACGTAAATGACCTAATTATATATCGGGGTAATCAACCATTTTGCTATTTTGCAGGTTTTGCTGCAAACTGTGGACTGTGAATAACTCTCAACATGTTACCCTACAAAGAAAATAATAACTCAAGTTTTGCACAATAAAGGGAGGGACTTTAATAAACGGCAGTCGCCGTTGCCATCGCGTGTTTTTTTTTTTTTAATAAACAAAACTATTCATGCAGTCTGACATTTGCCGTACAAACTGAAATCTATAAAATAATGTTCGCATGTAGCAGATGAGTTCATGCAAAATAAACATCGCACAGAAAGAACGAAATTGAATATTAAACGCTAATCGCCGCCCGTCGACTTCGCATCATTTAAAATGTATAAAAAGAAAGGTTAGAAATTGTGTCGACGAACAAAGAAATGCGTGAGACGCTTTCAGGTTCACATATCACAGTTTTAGTCTTCTTCCGACGAGCTATCGTCGATGTTTATTAGTTGAGGCTGTACCAAGCTGGGCTTTGCCGTTTCCAACCCCCCTAAAATTGAATTTATACGTCGTTTCACGAGACCTCGTTCAGACGTCCCATCGCTTCCCATAAATCGGGCGGAAGCCTTGTTGACCAGATTTTCTCGAATGGCCCCGTCTTCGAACTGTTCTTTTCGCGTGGCAATTAATAGAAGATCTTTTATCATATTGTGTCCGAGATGTGATCGCCAATCAGTGAGAATTCGCCGTAAACAACTGAACCCTCTTTCGACAACAGCATTTGAGAATGGTAAGCAAAGCACTAACTCGACAACGATCAACAAATTTTTATACGCCTCCTTCTTTCGCTGGTGCAACTTGTGCCAAAAGTCGGTAGTGCTCAAATCTTTGTAAACCTCATTTCCCTGGACGTCATACTTCAAATCATCCCATTCTTTCAAGCATGCACCCTTCTCGCACCCAGCTGCGTGTAGAGGTACTTTGAAGTACTCAAAGACTTGTGAAAGATCTTGATTGCCATATTCAGGGACGGACGCATTAATCCCGCCATCCGACATCAAGATTTCAGGGTTCAGCCATGATAACTTACTCAAAATGTTTTCTTGTTCTTCTATTTCTGTAAATCGCTCGTCCAGGCAATCACGCAGATTTCTTATGCATTGCGATCTTGTTGTTTGGGATCTCTGGATGATGGTTTCCTCTGCAGAATGAAAAACCACGCTTTCCTCGTGTTCCAGGAGTCTGGCGGTCGGTGTTTCACGCCTTTTACAAGTAATGCGTATTGCCTTCGTTTGTCCACCATCTTCGTGTCTGGTAAAACGGAACGGAAGCGGAGTGCAATTTAGGTCGCCCCTGTCATAAGCATCGAGCGCTTCTCGCTCTGCAGGACCGCCGCGAAGTTCCATAGAAGTTAATTTCATTTTCAACCGTTTTATCTGCTTGGTAGCGTCAATAATGGATGACCCGTCATGATCTGATTGTATTGCGATTGACGTGGCAGATACCCAATTTACGATATCCTCGTATTGGCGACATAGGATATAGAACTTGAAGCTGTGAAGATTAACAAGAAATTTCTCAGCCTTCATATCTGACTCAGCCTCCCTCTGGTTAGTGAAATGATGTATGTAAACAATCCAATTTGTTTTTAGCGCATGGAGTGCGTTGAGTGTGTGTGCCACAAATCTTGTGCCTTGCGACTTTGGTACACTAACAACCGCGGTCTGCAACTTTTCTGCCGCATTACATACGGCGGCCCATTCTTTAGGGCTATTCCGAAAATGATAATATATGTCAATAAGGAAGTCAATAACTTGTTTGAAATTTGAAATGGGGGGTCAATGCGTCTTTCGATGCTAGTTCAATTCGATGTGAATAGCAATGTACTTTGATTAGCCGACCAGGGCACACGTCCTCCCATTTTTTAAGTAAACCCGTTTTACACCCAAAGTTAACAGCAGCGCCATCGGCGCCGGCCCCGATAATTTTTGAAGAAAAAGGCTTAATAAGTTCCACAAGATTTTCAATGGGTGTCTCACAATTTGTTGTTAAATCGGGAATCAGGAAACTCAACAGAGAGCGCAATGTAGCGTGGTACAAATTGTTAGCGTCCACTCGAACATATTCCTTCATTGAAATCAAGTCAATTTCGTGTACAGCTGGTTTGCATTCGTGCGCTATTCTTATGTAAATTAGTTCCGACTCGTACGATAACTTGCGCTTGGCGACTGTTGACCCATCCACCATCCAGCTAAAAAAATTTACTTTTTT